TACTTTATTGAAATCAATACTTAGCAGATTGTTTACTGTACTTTATTGAGGCTTTTTTTCGAGTTCCTGTACAGCAGTTTTAGTAGATTTAATACATTTGACTTATTTTTAATAAAAAATTTAATTCCATCGAAGAGAGTATTTTTACTGAGCCAGCTACAGTATCTGACAGTGTATCTTTTGTATTGGTACTAGAGCACAAACAATATATCAGCATGGCTGATATTTCTGGCTGATTGTAATGTAATAGACAAACTAGTGTGTATATCTGCCAATATGTAACAAGAGATTGCAGTCCACAAATGCGAAGGGTGTGTTAATATGGTCATTTAGAGACACTGTTGGCATTGGGTAGTTGGTCAACCAGAGAGAACTGACAATCATTCTTGTTAAAGAGACCTTATATTTATATATAATGTGTTTATGATAGAAAAGAAAAACATGTAACCATCTGGCTGTATCTGGTACGAAGTCTTGACTTTCATAACATTGCAGTTATTTAAAGTTTTCTAGCAATACCTGCTCAAATTCACACAAAAGAAGCATTCTGCATTCACAGAATTGAAGCCGTTAGATTAATGGTCACAGGACTAGAAATATCACCATAAAGACGGGATAATTTAAATATATTTTACCTAAAACTCTGTCTACCAAACCTGAGTTGAAATTGACGCAGTTGCTGCACACTGACAATTCCTCAACTAGAAGTATGTTTAGCTACTCTCCAGTTTCAGGCTACTGGTACTTAAGTCTGAAATCTGAGCGTGTTCACCAGCTCAGTGAAGCCCACACTCACCACATGTGAACTAGATATGGTAGTTAAGACACACATGCTTTATTGTATGTAGTAGTGATGCGCGGGCCAACCTGTAACCCGCGGGTTACCCGCGGGTCGGGTTGGGTCAAGAAATGTTAACTTTATTGGCGGGGCGGGTCATTAAGGATTAAATATGTCCAATACAGCCTACTTCTTAACAACACTGTTGGGTAAACCCACCTGCGACCTGACATACACACACACACACACATATATATATATATTTTTTTTATTAATTAATTTGTTGTTGCCAGTTTCCAGTGCCACTCGAAAGGCTGTTTTCAAGCACATTTGTAAGACCAAATAAAAGCCTTATTTAATGACATATTTAACGTGTATTTAATAGTGGCGGGGTGGGGAGGGTTGTGAAAATAGATGCGGTTGTGCGGGGCGGGATGGAGTGGGTCAAATTATTAAATAAATGCGGGACCCGCGCATCACTAGTATGCAGTGTGTCAGAGTGTCACCAACTGTATTTATACATGTACATCATATGAGTTACACAGATGTCTGGATAAAGGCTTTGGCTGTGTCACTCCTTATTTACTATATAGTGCACTATATTTATTTACCCTCCTCTATTTTAATTTTGCCTCTGAATTGAGGCTGAGTGTGTAAATGTATCCACTAAATAGTGCCCTTTAAAAATTACACAGTGGACCAAAATAAGCTGTGTTCTAGCATGTACACAACTTTTTGTGACAATCACACAATGCAAAGAAAGGATCCATACACAGGTAGTGTCACTCACTTGCTAGTTTAGCTTGTAATCCTGATGGCCCAGGTTTGGAGGTCTCAGTTTTGGAGGATCCGGGCAAGGACAGTTTGGGTTTTGGCAGGTTGACTTTGGGATTGAAGCGTGCTGCCCACTCAAATTTTGAAGAGCTGGCGGTTTTGGCCTGCTCCTTGTCACGTGTACTACGGCGTGGGGAGGGGCTTGAGGCTGAGCGAGAGCGCCGTGCCTTGGTCTGATCTTTTCCTTGTTTGACTCGGGCACCCTGCGTGGTCGTGCTGTTGGTGCCTGTGGTGGAGGAAGAGGAAGAGGTGGAGGCAGAGGAAGAGGAGTCCGTCACGTTGCTACACCCAGCTTTGGCTGAGGCGGCCGATTTAGACGCCAGCTTGGTGGGTTTTGCAGTTCTGCCCTCGGTACGATTGGGGAGGGACCCAACGGTGCTACTTAGACCGGGGAGAGAGTCCGCTTTCTTCCGTTTCTGGATTGGTGAGGCCCCAGCGGCCCCGCTCTTCTTGCTCTGGCCTCGACCTGACGATGCAGGTGGTTCTGAAGCAAGTGATCTCTTCTTGGACTTAGCTGGTCCTTTCTTGGTCTCTGAGGTATTGTCTCTGGGTGGTGGGAGTGATTTGGACTTCTTGGCTGGTGTCGGTCCAAAGGTACTAATTTGGTCGGGAGCTTCGGTTCGCTTCAGCCCTCGGGTGCCTTCACTCTTTGACTGGTGGCCTGGTCGCTCTTGTTCAGATGTCCCTGCAGCCTCTGGCTCGTCTTGTAACACAAATGAAGCCACGGACAGAGAAAGACCGCTTCTGCTAGAGAGCAAGAGGGACAAAAAGAACACCATTTTAGAAAAGTCTTCAAACTGTGAAAAGTGATTAATTACAATGCCACATTCATTGTACTCATTCAGATTTAGAACAAAACCCAAAGTTGTACAATACTGTATATGTTCTTCCTCATTGTGAATTTTACACAGTACGATACTATTGGATGAAGTACAAACCCACAAACACACGCACACACAATAAGCACCAAGTAGAGAGGAGGGGTACCTTCGTGAGCTGTGCCCTCTGGACTGGCCAGTGGCTGAGCTGGCTGTGGCTTTGGAAGCCTTAGAATTAGGTCTTCTACTTTCAGGTGGGGAATTTGCTTTATGTTTTACCTGCTCTGACTGCAACCTGTAAGGTTGGAAATTAAAGAGCAAGTGACAGTGTGGGTTTCTGTAATTAAGCCACATATAAAAAAAGAGAGACTTTATCAATCCCCAAATAATTTTGGCTGACTGCAACTGAGTATCCTGTGAGCATTAACACCTCTGGAGTAGCAAGAAAAACAGCTAAAAGAACAGTTGAGTATCAACAGTTAATCACATTTGTCTCTGATAAAAGAACACAAGACAAGATTCCCCTTTAATCAAAGAGGCCATTATAACCATTCTACATCAAGTTCAAATGCCAATTAATTACAGACAAACACCACCCATGAATTAAGTACAAATACCCCTCTATTAAACAGCCCTCAATTGTTCCTCCCCACATACCATTATTACTGCCTTATAACTGAACTAAAAGTGGACACCAAGGGTGCAGACAGACTCACCTTCCTGCGACTGTGTGGTCTTGTGGCTGGGCCGCAGCAGTGTTCCTCTGTGAACGGCGCAGTGACCCCCCTGGATTGGAATTAGGCCGGTTGGACATTGGCACCTCTCTCCTGAAGGGACATACCCTTTCTAGACACTACCATTCACTACAATAGAAGACAGAAAGAAACCACATAAGGATATTGACAAAATGCGATGGTGAGCGCTTTGGAAATATCAGGGGCTTGGCCGTCTGATCATACATTTGTATATTTCAGGAGGCAAACTCCCTCTAGAAAAAAGACCATTCCTGTTACTGTTACTGACACTCACTTACACAATTTGTGTAGGGGCAAAAACAGGCTGCCAGAAAGATCATGGGCTAGAAACCAAACAACTCACAGATGACACAATCACAAATGTAAAGGAGTTCAAATGTTGTTTTTTTTATCAATTTCATAAATTATGTGTACAGTAGATTTTTTTTTATTAAAAAAATATTTAATTAAGTCAGTTAATGAATCCAAAAATAATCAGAATAGCTTCATAACATCACTATACCAACCCAAGACTCCCCTGAGTAATGATGCACAAGGTCACAGGCAAATCAAAATAAACCTATCACTGAGCAGACTGCAAGTCAAACAAACCACATAAAAAGATAATTACATTTCAAAGTTTCAAACTGATTTTAAATAATATCTACTACTGTTGATAGTCTTTTAAGGGGCCATAACATCCCATAATATTAAAATACCTGACCAACAGAGCCTGTTGTTGGGGTAAGTTGTAGTAATCACTCGGGATGTGAAAGAAAATGTCTTACTTGAAGAAGGGTAATTTACATGTAGTTCTCATGAGTCAATGACATGAGAGTACTGATAACAAAGTGATGAATATCTTTTGAACACATCAGCAGGATGATTTTATCAACTGCTACACAAAGACCACTGAATCACAACTTACATACGTTCTGCCATCCAAAAAATAAAGATTACTATTTTACCAATTTAGTTAAGAGTTTAAATCATTATATCATTGATCATAAAAATACGCCACACTTGGCAAGCTCACAGGGCCATTTTAGGCCTGCACTGACAGTGCATCCTAGTCTTTGTTTATTCGTCCATTCTGACAACTGGTGCACCACACTCGCGTATAATGTGATTAGTTAAGCACATCAAATGATCGGTAGCTTGAAACACTCGCCGGTACCAAGTTTTTATTACGACACCACTAAACAAGCACGGCAGTGTTCAATTTTTATACCCATGATATACAGAGGCCTATATTTCTGACGTAGTTCTCTACCACCACCGACTAGCATGTTTAGCCACTCATATCCTAGCAAGACCCATACATTTTGACAGTAGCTTAGTCGCATCCGTGTCCACACCAAAAACTTCCACGTCCCAAAAGCGAAGCTTGTAACCGCTGGTTATTGACTATGATGATGAGAAAAAGCTAAAGGCTAGTAAGCACATACCAGAGGCTCGTTGGTTGAAGTTACGTTGGCTAACGTAGCAGTGGTTACATGGAAATGCGTAGTTGGCGTACCGGTGTGTCAACCTATTTAACTCCCAAACTAAACGCACTGCCAAATTCTAAAAGCCACCTTGTTTTCACCTAGTTGTGGTACGAAACGGCTAAATATATACCGGACGGCCACGACGAGCCCATTAAGTGCCAAATAACGATTACGTTCACCTGAGATTAGCTACACAGCGAAAATGGCAGCATCGACAGGACCGTCTTCCGAAAGCCGTTTAATGTCATATAGCTAGCAGGCTACCGTACACCACCGTAACGTGAGGCTACCCTGGTATGACACACTGCTCTGTCTCTGGCTGACGACTGAGTTTGAAGACAAGGGAAATAAATATATATAAATATATATATATAACTGTTACATGTCTCGCACGCAAGTTAGCTCACCTCCTCTGCTGTTTGATGGGATGATCAAATTAAAAATACACAACTGTCACTACGACCGGTAACCAGGCAGATCCAGGGTCACTCTCTTAGCAACTGTCAACGTTGTTGTTGAGTACACACGTATAGCTAACTACCGCTGGCTCTCTCCGAGGATCACTGATGTTTTCTAAGCTGACTTAAGGCCAATGCCTGTCTACAGCAACTGGCTACCGTCTCAGCTAATGTTAGCCAGACAGAGACAGAGTTGACTTACTGTCGAGCAACGTGTCAACACAGCAGATACTTCCTATCACAGCGCTGGGCACGATTAACCAAACACCGTCAACCATTTTATTTAACCGAGCATCTTAGCGTTTAGGACAAGTCTCGAGGCTAATAATTAGCAAGCTAATGCTAGCTTAGCTTAAAAAGGGGGACAGCGAGTGTTTCTTCAGAGACCGTTCACTCGCAAACAACAAGCGGACACAAATAAACACCTGGCTGTTAGCTACACTAGCTATTGTTACTGGTATTAGTTCAGATACCTTAGCAACCCGATGGACAATAAGCCACTGACCTTATCGATACGGAATTAGCGTGGTGCGGGGCAGTCACGTAGCTGACGGTAAGCGTTGTCAAACCAAACAACAGCGTTGTAGCTATTACCAGCTAACCTTGGCAGGCTAGCTAATTAATATTAGCTAGCCTTGTTGTCGCTGGCTAACGCGTTGCCAACTCGACAAGATGCTAATGGGATTTATTAGACAAACAACAGCTTCTTTACAACTCACGAACTGCGGCTTTTTTTGGGGGAAAAAACAAAAAAAACAAGTCAAGTTTTGTTTAAATGTACAAGTTGTCCAGCTAGCAGCTAGCATGTTAACGCTAGCTAGCAAAAAGAAATGGCCTCTGATACCTTTTAGACACAAAAAAACAGGAAAGCAGGAACGGGACTCGAGATATTTTCGCAACACTGAATCATAATTCCTCCGATGTATTTCGATATTAAATGATCTCGAAGGTCCGAGAGACTGTTGGCTGAGATGTCACTGAAGATTTCTACCTTTTGTATAATGTTGTTACCTATTTGTTCCAGTGTTGTAGTTGTAACAGACAGTGCACCAGCTCCTCTTTTCTCTCTCTAGCCCTGATACTTTCACATCAGCTGAGGAGCCGACAACTGCAATATACATCCGCGTGATTCATCCGCTCGGGGACTACTTACTTCTGATTTTTAGCTCTCGGCATTTGTTTGTGTGTGGCCAACAATGCCACTGCGAGCACTAACGTTAAGTCTGAGGCGTTGGTCTTTAAACCTATATGTTAGCCATAAAATATTTGCAACAAAAAGATGGGAGATATATTTGTCGTTTTGGAAACATAATCACTGCAACACTGAAGTCGTTGGTAACATTAGCGTGTCACAAATATTAAGTATCAATCCGCTGGGTCGTGACCCCCCCCCCCTTTTTTTTTTTTTTTTTTTACATATTCATAAAACAATTAATTTTATAAATTAATTTTAAGCCATGAATTACCCTTTTTCATCTCCTTACATCATCATCCATTAAACGTTTTCCCTGGTCGTCGAGTAAATATTATGTTATTTCAGTTGCTTTTCAGTTGTCATGGTTACAATTCTGCGTCCAAAATGGCGTCCTTGCTCGGGAAGCATCTATTTGAAATCAGCGCTCAGGGCCCACCTCCTCCAAAAGATTACTTCCAACTTGTTATCACCAAAAATGAGGTCGAGTACTTGTATGAGTTATATTTATTAAGCAGTGTCTCAAACAATAGCGTGGTCAAAATAATAAAGGAACACTGTGGACATGTAACTGCGGCTAGCTTAACTCTAACTTACAAAAGTTAGTTAACATGTCCGTTAGATAATACCTTTCTTTGTTAATGTTAGATAACTGTTACCTTGAACTGAGTGAGAAAGTAACCAATACATTTATGGCAGAAAGTATTCAGTAATGTGTATGACTAATTATATGAATAGCTTTTGCAGTGGGTTTTGTCCCAGGTAATTTATTATTACATATATTATTGTACATGCCCTGAATAGGATTTTGGATTCACATGATGAACTGTAAGGTTCTCTAAGTCACATCTTCTCTCTCTGCCTTCACTTTTTATCTTACGTTGTTGTTTTTCTAACTTTAGGTAATATGGAGGTCATGGAAGATTTCTGTGCGACTTGAAGCCCGGGGCGCTGCACCAAAAGAGCTGAAGACATCCCATCAAGATTTCCTACATAACAAATCACTTAAGTGTAAGGGTTCATCGTGTAGATAGATAGATAGATAGATAGATAGATAGATAGATAGATAGATAGATAGATAGATAGATAGATACTTTATTATGCTATACTGAAAATCTTTTTCAATTGTTGTTAATTTGTTTTGTGAAGTGTAACAGTACTTTGTTTGGGCTCAGCATTTGCTTTAACAGAAATCTATCATTTGACAGAGAACACGTAGTTAGGTTTTCAGTAATTTGACATCCAGGCTGTGCTTTACCCCTCATCTGTAGACGATGTTGATGCTGTTTTTGGGCAGAGAATCCTGGATCACACAATATTACTTTGTGAAGGAAAGTTTGATTACCTGGAGCGCTTACCGGATGACATATTGATCAGGATCATGTCCTACCTACAGCTGAAAGATACAACACTGATGGCACAGGTTTCACATAGATTCAGAAAGGTGAGACAATTTTACAACAGTATAGTCGTGTCTACATTAGGTCACTCTCTAGAATGGACATATGTACTTGTACACTGATAACCACACCTGTAAATCTGCATGTTTGGTTGTCTTGTGCTCTGATTGGACTGTACCAGCTCTGCAATTCTGAGAAGTTTTGGGAGGACACTGTGAGGAATCGCTGTGCTGAGTTTACCAGTGACATGGAGGGCATAGCAAATGCCATGGGCTGGAAGAAGCTCTTTTTTACCTTTTTCCACAGTAGTGGCAGAAAGGAGCAGCAGTGAAGCAACTGAACAGTTTTCTTACTGTTCTGAAACAACTGAAAAACAAATGCAATGACAGTGGATGAATATCAGGATTCATTTTACTTTGTGAAACGAGAGCCAGTTTTCAGTGAGGTTTAGTGAGTGTTCTTGAGTTTTAACTTTAGTGTTGAGATATGTGATCTACAAAAAAATGTAAATCCCATTGGTTTAAAAGTTCCAAATATTCTTCAAAACAAATCAGTATTTTTATGTGTTGCTAATTCCTTCCTTACACTTTGGGTGGCAACAATTACCACCAGTATTCAAAGAGAGATGCCGGTACTTACGAGTTATGTATGTTGTTGTTGCAAAGAGTATACGTTGTGTAATATTCCTGATATATTAAATTAGCATACTGTACAATACAGCAATTAGTGTCTCATTTTGTTTCCTGAATAATAAATGGATAAAGCATGATCTAAAAAAAGGATTAGCACAAAGAAAATTGAGAACTTAGGCAACTGGAGTCCTGCTGACATCATATCAGGGTAAGCAGTCAATTTCAACATATACTTCCTGTTTACATTTGCCAGTGAACTGTTCTTGCGCCCTCTGCTGGGGGTCCTCGGCACTCAATGCTGTGTCTGCCTACAGCCAACCTGGGTTTGTATACAGTCTGTGTGTGTTCACTCAAGCAGCCAGCAGAGGGAGCCACATGGCAGTGAAAACTAGAGTCAGATGATGGGAGGAGGAGGATCAAGCAAATAAACCCTTGGGTAACGTGTGCAAAACAAGTGTTGTAATTCTGGTTACCATATCCAGGCCTAAAGAGTAGATTACACGTTTTCTGGATTAAAACCTTGCACAAATACGTCTGTCAGGGCATCTGCCACACCGGTACAACCTCACCTGAAACCTGCACAAGCAAGCTACAGTAACATAAGACAAAGGTATGCACTGTTTTTTCTGTTTCTAACAGGTACCTTAGTGGGTCAAAGACAACATATGGTACAATAAATGTAAACAAAACAGCTACATAATAAAGTACTGTCCTTGTTTCGGTCACAAAAGATGATACAATAGAAACACACACAAAAGTCATTCCCTTGTCCTGTGTTAAAGGATGAGAAAAATGCAGATAATCTTCCATTAACAGCAAAACTCCCCTCAATATAAAATATTCTTCTGTCAAAATGTTAGCTGGGTGTTAGAATGATCTGACATGACTGCATACAGCCCTGACTGGTAGGTACTATGGCCTATTATTAGCCTCTGAACACTGGATACCGCCTTCTCAGCTGAGTCTGGTCTAGGAGGAAAAATATTCATTACGTAACAATAAAGGAGCTGTCTCCCGACCCACTTCCTGAATACCACAGCGGCAACTAGGCCTCAAACTGAGGCAGAGCGGAAGCTTCATCCATTTGTTTGCTGTCGCAGTGTTTAACAGCGGCAGTTGTTTTCCTGCTTATCCCTTGCCTCCACACATTCACCACACGCCACCCCTCCTTCTCAGCTCCTCTTTGTGGGTCAGTGATGCAGCGGGCGTGACGCAGCAGTGGCAACAGCCTCCAGAAGGCAACTATACAGAGAAGGGACAAGGAACCTCTGCCAGAACCAAAGTCCAAAGGCAACATCCAGACAGCAGTGACGAGGGAAGGTGGTAGAGGCCTAATCTAGGCCAAGTGGAGAGCCGGGGCCGGGTAGTCACTCTCCTTTCCTCATCCTAAACAAACACCAGAGAGACATCCACAGCGACAGAGAAGACCTTCTGCACAGAAACATTTTGGTAGGCAACTCAAAGTATGAGTGCTTGTTAAGTCAGCAGCATAAGTGCACCAACGGATGAGTGTCTTTATATGCTAAGAGTGTGAATGTTTTGAGAATGAATATGAGGCCTACTCAGCCGTGCACTGCGGTCTGTGCCTCCCTGTGTCTCACAGGCCGCAGCTGAGCTTACCGAGCATCAGAGGCACAGAGGCCTGTAAACTTTGTCCTGTGGTTTTGAACACATCCTAAATGTGATATTGAGTGTGGGTGGCAAGGTGCTATATGAAGTGCTTTAATTAAGGGCAGTGAATTCATCTATTGGCGGGTAAGATCTTCTTAAAGGGCCTGTGTGTAGGAGTCAGTGGCATCTAGTGGTGAAGTTACAGATTGTCGCCATTTGAATACAGCTCAGCCGTCCAAGCATGTAGGAGAAACTATGGTGGCCACGAAACTCAAGAAAAACACGAAAGGTGCTATCTAGAGCCAGTGTTTGGTTTGTGTGTTTTGGGCTACTGTAGAAAAATAGTGGTTCAACATGGCAGACTCCATGGAAGAGGAAGATGGATGTATAAAGAGAACTGGATACAGCATTAGAGGCTGCAGCATTAAAGCTGCTTCCCGTTGTAAAGAAATTACTTGGATGAATACACACTGCACATGCCACAGTGGCCCATAGAGGATGCACACTAGAGACTTCCACTGTCCGAGCTGGCTTGCTTGCGGTTTGGCCTTCTGTTAGCTAGAATGGGGATGAATAATTTAAATGTTATCAGACTGAATGGATCAAATTCTGTTAGTGAAACGAGTAATTTTGTTGTAATGTTTGAGAAAATGTATCCACCGTTTTACAGCAGCTTCTTTCATAATGTAACCTTATGGGGAAAAATTTTTTTGGGCCAGTGCACATCACGCGACGGACGCCATTGCTGTAATTACACGGTTCGGCCACTATGTCAAATTGGCTTCAAAGCCCAGTGCTCTTTATAGGGGCTTGAAGGGGACCCTCTCCCTCAGTAGATAAAAATGACTCATTTGAAAACACAATGATTCTTATTTTCAAGTGATTATACACTAATAAAAAAAACAAACACCTTTAAAATCAGGATTTATAAAAAGAAGAGTTTCCCAATTCTTAACATAAATAAAATGATTTACAACACTGTAAACTGCGAAGCAAGTTTGCCAGATTATGGAACATATAAAGAATCGCCTAGGCAAATTAAAAATGTTACAATGGTTAAAAGGCTCTGCTATGGTACAATGTTTTTGAGTTAAAAATTATTGCTTTTCCACAGATGCGTTTCAACCATTCATTCAAGATATAGAAGATGTACAGTACGTAATGTCAACAAATGAGTTAGGACTAAAAAAAGATTGAGTTAGATAAAGTTACAAAATAAAATATGTATATTGTCTTTAAATGCTACTCATGGACCGACTCATCCGGATCTTAAGACGTTGGTTGAAAGAAACCCCCAAATATACTGCAGTCAACAAAAGAACTCCTCTTTTTATGTTTAAATATTATGTTCACAAGAAGTTAGGGTCTTATTTTATTGGACTTCCTCTAATGTGTGTCTTTGCTGTGTATTTGAAGAATAGAGTAGTTTTGACTGACAAGAGTCTCTGTAAATCCCAGTCAGCTGTGGTGGTTGCTATATGCTCATCACACTTTAACTTCAGCCAGGCTCCCCCCCTAGTCTTCCAAATTTAGATTTTCTGGCTCCAATTACAGAGGGTATGCAGTGAAGCCACTTTTGTCTTATCGCTTGTATTGTCATCTCTTGTCTGGTTTTTGGTTTGCACACCAACATGGCCCAGTGTGGCGCAAGTTTTCAGGTTTAACTACCTGATACACTGGCTGCTCCCTCGGCTGATGTAGGGGTCTTCAAGAAAGCAGGTCTTGCTGTCAGCATCAAAAATAGATGTGGTTAATTATGTATTCATGAAACCAACATAATGTGATATATCGAACACAGAAAATGAAACAGATGTCAGCCAGTATGAGGAGAAGACCCACACAGTCATATGACTATACTGAGTTGTGTAAATAAAAGAGCTGCTTCCGTCCTCAGAGGCTAGCGAGAGTCTCACAGTGCCATGTTGGGTTCAGCTTCCTCCCCTCCCCCTCGTCTGCAGTGCTGACGCATCTGCTGCTTTTGCATCAATCAGCAGCCTCTATATAGGTATACCGAGAGTCCCCGCTGATAGCAGGACTCTCTTTCCCCCCCATAGCCTTGCATTCAGTTGCACGCTCACTGCAATTGTGAGAAAAAGCATCGATGAACATGTGTCCTGCGACTGCTGTGATGCAAAATAAGACAGCAGTAACTGCCATCTTCTCTCTGGTTCTGCATTACCTAACCACAGGGACTGCGTAAGCACCGACGAAGGGCTTTGGTGTTAATATTGCTGCACAGACAGAGACTGTGTGCGCAAGCATGAAAACAGATGGTGTAGCGTTATGCATTCAAAGTGCATGTTGTTTCTATGACAGTTAATTCTGTTCCATTCATAAGACATTTTCCCTTATGGTCAACACTGGTGCAGGATCAGGATGGAGCTGGTGTGGTGCTGAGGAGATTTAATACGCCATTTGTTGCACCCCTCACTCTACGCTGCTACCAGCAATGCAGCTGAGCGTTTTCTCTGGCTGTAGCATCGAGTACAGAGCTGGTGTGTGATGTAGCACCCAGCATCTCTCCGCTCTCTCTACAGCTCTCTGCCATGCTTAATAAAAGTTGTCGTTTCCTGCTCAGTGGCTCCAGAACGAACGCTTCAGTTGCCCAGTTAGCACAAAGGCAGATCCGTACTCCGGTTTAGCTACAAGCTGTATAACTGTGAGGAACTGTGATTATATAGCTGTACTAGGACAGAAGAGGGACAGCCAGAGGAGGGCAGGGCAGATCTAGCCCAGGACCTGGGCTGCATGGATAGAGGCGAAGGATGCTGAAGCTGGAGTCATCTGCACACAGAGAGGGAGGGAGAGGAAGAAAGACGTCAGAAAAGCTCTGCTTCTGACAACACCACTGTTCAGCGACCATCATAGAAAAAAAACTACTTTCGCCTTGCTCTCACGAAACTGTTTTTCATGTATAGTTGGGTATATTGAGGGCTGTAGAAAAGGGATACTGCATGACACTGTTTCCTGTTCGCCCTGCATCATTTTCTCTGAATTACTAAGGTACGTTTTTGCATGGTTTCCCTCAAATTTATAACCTGTTTATTGCGGAAGTGCACTTTGCAGAGGTGCGTGAAGTGGCTTTTGCTTTGACATTTCGCTCTTTGTTTGACAAGACTGTCTATATGCTACAGTGTAAATTCTTGGTTTGTGGTTTGGTATGTGGGGATTTTTACTTTACAGGTTGAGATGTAAAAAATAATTTCACATGAGCTTTGAAGGTAAACTAAAGGTTGGGTGTGGCAAAATCATAAGCACTGATGACAAATTCAAAATTTCCGCTCAGCATGTGGTGGCAATAAACCACAACAATTGGTATAATTTGTGAAAAATGAGTGTGGTGAAGTGAAATAGCAACAGAAAACATTCAACTGTTTCAGAACAAACTGAGAAATTAGTATAAAAGCAGTGCCACATCACTTGCCGTTATCAGATGAGAAAGTCCTTTGGGTAGCATTTCTGCTGCAGACAAAGACACACAGACCAGTACACATAGACAAAGTATATTCAAGCAGAGACAAAGGAAAACCTCAATTGCTCTGTAGACTGCTGTGTGTTGCAGGTTCTCAGAGAGGGCAGGATGTTTGTGGGAGATAGGGGACCGAATACCCGGACAGCTAATACAGTCACTTGCCATCCAGCTGAATCCCAATAAGTGCTGCGCCATAGCATGTTGCCATGACAACGGAGGCCTGTCTAAGATAGAAGGCAGGTGGCTGGTTGTGTTTTCAGGAGTCTGAGAGGCTTTAAAGAACGGCGGCCATATTGTATTTGTTGCACGAAACAGAAAATTGAATATGAGTTTATCAAACCTCTTTGGAGTAAACAAAGTGTCCTGTAAATGTATTACCTTTAAGGTGAAAAAATGTCAATACATTTCCAATTGGTGCGTAATGCAGAGGACAAAAATAAGCAAAACATAAAACAAAATTAGATATCCAATGGTTAATTTAATATAATTTAATATAATTTGTTACACTATTGTAACTATTGTTACAATCTAATTTGCACAGACTAAATCTCACAGGGATCACGAGAAATTAAAACTCTTCTCCTCTTGTTTTTACACTAAGTAAGTACAGAGAACAAAGAACAAGTTTACAACTGAGAGACACTAAATATAGCCGCGTTGCCTCAAGGGTAGCAGATAGCTAAAGAGAACCCCCTCATGCTATACTGCACAGTCACTGTATGACTAAATACGTAAATGAGGATAAAAATAACAATAATGTTAAGTTCTGACTTCTCTCTGAGCTTAAGTTGGATATTTAAATAATGTTGATGCAGGTGTGATGATTCATCACTGACAGGAACAAGCTGAGTGTGTCTTAGCAGGTACAGTCAGCACGCTATGTGAGAAATGCTTAATGAGTCGGTATAGACTCAAACCACACTGACTCTGATATCAGTAGGCCACAATTAGGACATCATGCCGAGTGATACATCCTTCTTTCAAAGTGAGAATGAAGGAACTTTAACTTCCTCTAAGAGTTGCAGATTGAAGATAATTAATAGTTTATAGCCTGTGTGTAACAACTGGAAGACTAAGATGTGTATATAAGATCAATTGTTATAGAATATTACTAGCAAGTCAGCTACTTAGAGAGATTGTTACCGATTGTTACGTTTCTACTTTTCATAGCAGGGATTGTTGTATTTCTGTAAATCAATGACCTTTCCTGGTAGCCATTAAGCTCATGATGCATTAATTAACTGTACCCTGTTGTTAGAGTTGACAAAATGTATGTGAGACAAGTGAAAAGGTGCCTCTTTAATGCCGACTGACAGAAAACTGACGAAGGGACCATATGAGTCATCAGTGCGTAACTGTCTGCGTGTCATTTTCACATTAACCTATGCCTTAGGAATAATATGTCAGGACAACTGAACCAGACCTAGTGCAGAACTGTATCATTCTGAATGGATTACCACTAAAATTGAATTATAATGCAAGTAATAATAACAAAGAATAATCCATGACAGCATATTTTACCAGTTGCATACTGTGGTTTTCTCATGACTGTTTTGGGATTAGTTGATACCCTACTTAGGTTGTTCATGACAAGAATATTCCATGTATAAAAAAACAAGTTAATCTGCAGAGAAAACCAGCAATGGAACAGAAAGGAAATTATTGGACAGACAAAGAGTTGTTGCATATAGGAAGTAATTAAGAACGTCATACATTAGGTGACTATATCCAATACTTTTTGAATCAGAGACAACATTTTTTACACATATTAAGTATGGTCTAATTACTAAAGAATAATTCTCACAGTATTTCTAAATTGCATGATACTCTCACCTGGGTGTTTTCTGATGCAATCCTTGACAGTAGTATCAATAGGCCTTTCATTCATTTCATTTTCTGATAGCTAGCATTTGAAACATTACCTTTTTCCCATTATTCAACCATTGCCCCACATTCTAGCAGCCTTTACAAGAGATTAAAGACCTCCTCTACACAAGAGGGAAAAAAAGATAAATGGGGGAAGGGAGAGACTTAAGCTAGTAGTGTCTATACTCAGTATGTGACCCATTCATTAAGGTTTAAACTTTATGCATAACTCTATATTTTTAATCATGGATGATGGATGATGGATGAAACAGGATGGAGATTATGATAATTACACTCACCAGAACTGTTGTCTAGATTGTTGGCACTAGGGCTCATCTGTCAGGACATTACTGCCATCTAGTGTTAAAACACTAGAAGAGCACAAACATTTTCAAAAACAAAATGTACACACATATTCTGGATCTTTTTAACAAAATCAAAACCATCAGATCCACCATTCTGTAATAATCTGATGTCATTATTTCTTTCTTTTAGATGACTGTGGTGTCCCCATGCACTCAGAACCTGATGGATAGTGCTCACCCTCACACTGTGCTTAACAAACTCAATGAGCAGCGTGCACAAGGCCTCTTCTGTGATGTTACCATTGTGGTGGAGGATGTTAAGTTTCGGGCCCACAAGAACATCCTGGCAGCCTGCAGCGGGTACTTCAAGAACGCTCTGACAACTCCTGAGACAGTGAGCTCTAGCCAAGTGCTGGAGCTGATGGACCTGAAGTCTGAGGTGTTTGCCAGTATTCTCAACTACATCTACTGCTCAAAAGTGACATTACCCGGTACAGAGGACACAGGGGGGCTAGTGGCTGCTGGAAAAAGGCTTGGAATTCCTTTTTTAGAGAAGCTTGCAGAACAAGAGAGGCAGGACGAATGTGTTAAATCCACAGATTCCAGCACAGTTCCATTGTCTAAAAAAACAAAGAAGGAAGCTCCCAGGCCTGAGGAGATTGACAGTGCCAAAGGCCCACGCATCACCAATGCCTTTTCGATCACTGAAGTGTGTCATGGGAACAATCTTTTCACCCCTCTGGTTCAAACTGATGGGGAGAGGCAGTCGCCAGATGTGGGACAGCTCCCATCAAGTTGCCCCACAAACTCCTGCCTCAATGGGAACAATGAGACAACCCAAGCCCTCTCAGAGCACTCGTATGCAGTAAGCAAATCTACTGAAGGCAAAGATAACAGTCAATGGGACAACAAGAAGGTCTGTAAGCCAGCAATATCACAGCCAAAGCAACTCATATACAGGAATGCAGGGCCACTTAAAAAGCGCCACAGGCTCCGAGGCCCTTTGGGTAGAAGTATACTTCCAACACCAGCTGAACCACAAACAGATAAACCAAATGCAATAACCCCCACATTAGCTGATGCTGTTTCTGCAGCACCTGTTGCAGTCATGACACCACCGCCGCTTTTTTCAGAGGCAGAAACAGAAAAAAGTACAGACCCAGTGCTGCCCATAGCTGCTGACAGCGTTCAAATGGAATTAGGTCCACCAACACTTTCCCCTCACACAGAGGACAGCATTTCAATCTACGGGTGCGAGCACTGTCCAGAGATATTCACAAATAAAGCTCTTCTCACCATTCACTCAGAAGTACATAAAAAGCGTTTTGTCAGTCATTTGTTTTGCAAGTTTTGTCACAGAAAGTTTATCCACCTCAAACGGCTGCGCAACCATGAGCAGGTCTGTCCCAAAGCTGTAAGAGCCCCCCCTGAACTAGATACTACTGACATATCAACTAAAGGGGTGGACCTCCATTCAGATGGCTTGCCGATCATGGAGAACACCATGACACAGCTTCCCCCTGCTGACCTCTCCACCCCTTGCACCCCAGAGCCCCTTCAAGTGGATGAATCAGAGCCTCCACAGGAAGAGAGGGTAGTGCGGCCGGGGGGCAGTCAGAGGAGATACAACTGCAGTGTGTGTAAACGGGTTTATGTCACCCTATCCAGTCTGAAGCGGCATGAAAATGTACATTCCTGGCAGAGAGCTTATCCCTGTCATTATTGTAATAAAGTGTTTGCCTTGGCAGAGTACCGTACTAAGCATGAAATCTGGCACACAGGTGAACGCCGCTATCAGTGCATTTTCTGCCTGGAGACATTCATGACATATTATATCTTAAAGAACCATCAGAAGTCTTTTCACGGCATTGATCCCAATCTAGTTGTTAAGAAAAAATCTGCCAATGGTGGACTGAAAGCCAGTGTTTATCCAATCAAACTCTACAGGCTTCTGCCAATGAAGTTTAGAAAGAGACAATACAAGACGTACAGTGAGACATATTCAGAGAGTGTTGAAAGAGGTGAGCAAGCTCCACTAGACAGCAACTCTCTTATCCCTCCATTGGACGAAAATGGTCTGATCAGCCACCCTGATTCATTCCCCCGGACATTCATGGCAACGACAAAGATGGTGGCCCCTGTCATGCCTCGCATCAATTTTGACAAGCCATGTGACCAAGATATTGACCAAAGTATGAACAGTGAATTGGAAATTCAGAGAGGCGCAGGACAAGAGGGTGAGAATAGAGATTCACCTTTCATTAACTACAACAGTACCTTCTCTTTGCAACCTGATAATCCTCTAGTACTAAGTAACTCAGAGCACATCAGTCATGTGCCATTCTTAAACTCTTTGAACACTGTTAAAAAGTTAGGTGAGCTATCAGCTTCTGCAAAAAGAGTTGAGGATATGACCAAGGAGTTACTTCAGTCGAGCAACGAGAATCTGGTTCGCGATAAAATGGTGGGGGCCAAGACAGAAACATATATTGCCAAACCTGCATGCCCAGGTCCATCCGCGGATGGTGCTGCCATGCCGCTCTGTCAGATAACAGTGAAAATAGGCAATGAAGCCATCATCCGCCGCCAAATCAAAGGATCAAAGCTCTTCCCCAGAAAGAAAAGGAGAATCAGAGAACTGAGTGAGACGGAGAGCCCGAGTCAGTGCCCTCCAAGGGAAAACTCAGAGAGCCCCAGACTCCGCCTCAGACCAGAAGTCACTGCTGCCACAGAGCCAGAGACGTATGATGATCCCAATGACTGTGACACAGCTGACATGCTTTGGCGACCCTACTATTCTTACAAAGCTAAAAAGAAAAGGAAGAAGCTGCGATTCAAGCACAGAAAAGCTCTGCTTCACCATTATCCTGAAACATCCGCAGAGAGAACTGCAGCCAGTGAATCCCACCTTGATAAAAGCAGTTGGCTGATAGAAGAGAGCATCTCAGGTGGTAGTGGAGAGCTGAAACGTAGTCTTAGCAGGAACTCCAGCCCGAGGGCAACCTACAACTGTGACATCTGTGACAGCTCTTTTATCACTGAGACAGGTCTGAAAGCTCATGTTATTGGTTCCCACCCATGTTTCTGCCGGACCTGTGGTAAACAAGGTCCCCCCGGTGAGGTACCTGCCGGTGGTGACTACATCTGCAACAGCTGTATGGAAAATGGCACCTGCTTTGATAATACACCCCGGAGCCCCAACCTGGAGAAGAAGTATCGCTGCTCCTTCTGTCCCCAGCGTTTTCTCTACCTTGCCACCAAGAGAAGCCACGAGAAAAAACACCAGGAGACAAATGAGGAGGGGTATAATTATGACAACTTCACACCATGTTCTAAATACTCAGCACGCCTGATTGAAGACCATAAACAAGACACCATCAAAACAGAAGACAATGACAATCAAGGGGGGCCTGGCATAAAAAATGAAAGGCTGGAAGGAGGACCTTTTTCCATTGATAAAATGAAGCCTAAAATTGAGGACACAAGTGACTTCATGTCTTTGACAACCTACCAGGACATGTCGTTTTCCAGCATTAAAACTCCATTATCACCCTGCATTGACCCGTTGCTTTCTCTCACACCGACGAAGGTGAAACATAAAATGGCGAAAAAAAGGAACAATGCACAGCATACTATGCATCTCATTCCAAAAAAACAAGCTCGTGACAGAGACAGCGACAAAAACAAGGATATTTTGATGGGGCAAAAAACAACCAGTCATAATGACCGTGAGAAGTCCTTTAAACTGTTTAGGAGAAATGACTCTGAAACTAAAGGAACCCACATTTCTATACACAAGCCAGATAAATGGGTGTGCAAAGAGGAGCCATTTTTTTAAAGATCTCTGAGAACTGGCCAACAAGAGAAAGTGAATGAAGCCACTGCTCTGGCAAGGAATCGTAAGAGTTGTAATGTTGTTTTTACAGCTGAACTCAATAAAATGTTTTTGAATGGACAACACTGAACATCTAAGGATCTAATGTCAGTGTAGGTTGTTTCTTCCCTCCTAAACTCAACAACTGAGTGATTTTTCACCTTTGTAGAGGATATTTTTTGGATAATATGAGACCTTCTGACACAGACTGTACTTTGCTCATCGTCTATGCATATATGGCAGACTCAGTGACATGACTGTAACCTCAGCCTAATTCATGAATGTTGGTAACGTTTCTTCAAACGATGTGCAATTTCAGAACAGGGGTTAGGATGTGTCGGACAACTGAAAAGCTGCCTAGTGTGGTTGCATCTTCACATTTTAAAATATGTCTGGGGAAAACTATACGAATTTTACAACTGTCACATTTCTGAATTTCCTGTTCAATTAACTGACCATGGTGAGTTGCACTTTATTGTTAGACTATGCTAATCCGTTGGTTTCATACTTTGATATTTAAATTTTAATTCTAAGCACCAATGATATAATTCTAATTTATAATTAACATGTGGCACCATTGAGATTAAAGTTACTACTTTTGTGTGTTTATGTATAAAACATGTAAAACTATTTAAATAAATGTGACATTCTACACAGCTACATCCTGTTCTCCTTTAGCCTCGTTAGAGATACGGTAAATGCAATGATCAGTGACCACACTGACCTACATATCAGACTGACTGAGCACACTTACTGATTTTCTGATACTGATGATAAGGCAACAGTTACAGAAACCCTGAATGACATGCAATTAAAACGTGGAGATTTTTTAAAGAGATTTAAACACTAATATTGGTACAAATCCTGTTCCACAGCAACAGTTTCCTAAATATAAAGCCACATGGTGGTTATCTGCTCCTTCTGGGACCTGCAGCCCATCTGAGAAGTTTATTCCCTCGTTCTTCCACACAAACTGCATCTGTCTTTAGAGTTGGGCCTCAAGACACAATTTCCAGATGTGTTTAAATTCCTCGCTCCTTTCTAAGACTGTTCTTGTGATGTAGCAGATGTATCATACATTTTAGGTATATGGTGATGCTCAATACAGTGATTATGCCATAGAGGCAACGTTTTCCCCCATATCCCAATGCAATCTGTCATTTAATAGAGGATCATTACCTTTTAAAAACATTGATAGCAACAATTCATTTAAACTATTCCAGATGTGAGCAGCATTAGATTTTCATTTTTCATTATAATCTGTAAGCATAGCTGATGGCAGTAAGTAAGTAGTAAAGACTAGTTGCACTAATGTAAAGTAAAATCTGCATATGGTAGTAGTATTATAGAGGAACATATGCTTGCAAATCACTTCAATGCTCACTATATCGTACAATAGCCACTATTGTATTTTAATGAAATATGAGATATAAATACAACATAGACTTGATATGATGATCATTAGTTCTATATATTCTTCTGTGTTATAAAACATTTCATAATATCTTTATGAAGTTTTGGTTTAATTCAATAAATTTGACTTATATGGCCAAAGGCATTATATATGTCATGTTAATAGTCTTAATGTCGCACATTTTTGACAGTAAACAGCAGATAATTGTGTGACATACTCTGCAGTTTAAAAGTGGCCATATACATCTGAGTTTATGTTAAGTCCATGACAAATCAATAACAAGGTAAAGCATCTAGATTACATATTACCAGTATATAAGTGTTGTGAACTAGTGTGTGCAACGTGTTAACTTGAGACTAAGATAATACATAGACATTGGTTTTAAAAGTTGGTTATAAAAGTTATAATCCATACCTGACAGCCCTTTCAGCCTCCCTGCTACTAACAGCGATGACGATCAGACGTGGGATTTTCACCCAACCAAAGGCATCAACATCACCTTGAAAGAGAGGAAGAGAGCACAGGATGTCAGTCCTACCACACAAGGAGGTATTGGAATGGAAATTTTAAGACTAAGATGAATACATTATCTTTATATTGGGAAAAAAAATATTTAGATTTACAGTATATTTCAATGAAATGAACAACCACAATGATCAGAAACGCCCATAGTGAGTATCACATTAGCTAATGTCCAATGAATTATCCTGCTAAAAGCTGTAACCCAAGTAAGACAATTATCTATAATTATCTGTGTAAATGACAAAAAAACATAACAGAATGTTCTTTACACAAACATGTATGAAAAGGCCTGTCAATTATGTAACATGACACCACAGCTATTATTAAAGTGCTGATTTTTACTATGTAGTTTGTGAGGTGGTTCAATTTCTTACTCTGGTTGAAATCACAACCATTAGTCTGCACAAATAATAGACCGACTGGCTACCATGTATGAATCAGTATATGTTAACAGACACTTTAACAGGGTCGCTCAACATTTAAATATGACTTGCGTACATTTTTTCCTGATTAATTAAAGGGGACATATTAGGCAAAATGCACTTCTTTAGTGTTTGTACACACATATTTGGGTATTTGGGTGGCCTACCAACCCAGAAAGTGCGAAGAAAATCAACTCAGTCCTTTTTTTGTGTGCTGCCTGTGTCAGAAGACCTGAGCTCCAATGTGCCGTTCAGATTTTGCTCCCCTTCCTACGTAAGAAGCTGATTTATTTGCATAGCACCACCTCCCCGCTGACTAACCACCTCCCAGGGAGAAGAGCTGTCTTTGCCACAGTCCGCCATGTTTGCCCTGCAAACTGCAGGAATATATTCATTTAGTAAGGCTGTGTAACTTTGATCAGCACCGAGAAGCTGTACGTGACTAATATAAACCGTTAGCGTTAATTTCTACTGACTGCCACCGTCAGCTCACGTAGCATTAGCTTTGTCTTCATACTGAAGCCCCTCCAGTGTGTGTTTGTTGCTGCTGTATGTAAGTTCACTTGATAAATGAGCACTGGAGTTAACAATAGAGCTACGGTGAGAGAAACAGACAGACTGCAGGAATTAATTTGTTTGGTAAGATTGTGTAACTTCGATTAGCACAAAGCAGCTGTAACTCACTAGGCTGTGTGTGTGATCCATTGACAGTATGTATAATGGACACAGCTTGAAAAGTGACGCCAACGCGGAAGTATCTTAAAACCTGCATTCTACATAAATTCCAGCAGGGGGCGCTCCACTGGCTGCAATAACAGATAACCATTCACTCTAATGGAGAATGAGCCGACTTGACACTTCATTTATGAGCTCAGTACAGTTTCCTGATGAGTTTATGGTCTCAGTCGATAGTTTCACATTTTCTTCAATACATTATGATGTTCAATTAGTAAATTATGGTCCAATTTAGAGAAAAATAGACAATAAAGTCACATATGCTTTTAGACAGGGCTACCTTTTGACTGACAAGTCACTAACAGTGAGTCTGTCCAGCGCACAAAACTCGGATCAAACTATGAAACTAGGCAACTATGAAGCAAGATTCTGTTACTGCGAGGCCTATTTCTTGCTTTAAAATCATTTCAGAAACATATTTTAGTGTACTGTTATGAGAGAAGTAGTCAAACTGCAGGAATTAATTAGTTTAGAAAGATTGTGTAACTTTGATTATGACACAGCAGCTGTGGTTGCTCGCTAGGCTGGTTGTGGAGTCAAACCGCGACTAATTAAACTTTTCTGATCATTATTACTATTACTATTATTATTACTGACAATATAAGTGCAATTCCAGTGTAACATCTTCTACTCATATCATCTCCTATTGTGTTATAAACAACACAGAGGCTCACTGCTGAATATCTGTTTTTGCACCAGTGGGAACTTGGTTTTTCACAACATAAGTTACAGTTATAGTAAAGATCCTGTGTAATCCGTTTCTTCATTAATAATTGATGAAATGTGTAGCTGCTGCCATTAACTACACATTTGAGATAAAGTTGGTTACCTTACACTGTTTCAACAACACATCACAACAGTTAGCTGCAACCAGAGACACTGCTTTATTATTTTATAACTTAGGACTACTTTGAGCCACAATAAGCTGTTGCATCCTTGAGTAGTTAGTTGTACTTGTACTGTATTATATTATACTGTATATTATATGCTGTCTTACAAGTAACACTGAATCTGCCATGTTTTACAGGTGACCTGAGTGACCTGATGAAGCTCAGGTGTTCCTGGACCCATCAGAGGACAGAGACAGCTGCAGCATCAGGACAGTCTGGGTATCCAAAGGAAGACACATCAAGATGAACACTGACTGCAGAGCTCCACTACCAGCTCACACTTCAGTATTCTAGAAACCAAAAACCTTGATGGAGGACATGATTTGCAGTTAAAGTTATGGATTTGCTACTTGCACCATAATTTATACTTCTATGTAACTGGAATTTGAATGAAACATGAATAAAGTAGTTTTTGGTCATAAATTCAGTAATAACTATGGATTTAGATAAATAACATGTTTTTTACTGAGGTTTTTTGAAAAACCTATTTGATTTCCTGCATGTAAACGGGTTGAAAACCTGGTCCATGTAACATCTATCAATATGAAAATGTGAAATAGACAATAAATGAACATAAGCAACACAACACATTTCTGTTTCACAGTCCGACTTTATTATAATGTTGACAGATAAATGACATAATATATAATATAAATGATACAATAACATAAATGATAAAATATTCAGTATATATGCAGTATTTTAAAAGGGGTTAAAACATAATTGCAGCTTTTACAAATATTTGATAAACATTACACTATTACTCTGATTACTTTGGTACATTTACTGGGTGTTTCTTCACTAGAAACAATTCCTTGACTAATGTATTGTCTGTTTCATATGGTAACAGCCCCACATCTGGGTAATTACTCTTTACATAATATACTATGCTACATTAACAACAATAACACGTTACCTCTTTAGCTCCTCACAACAAATATGTTTAACTTCACTGGGCTGTGTAGACTGTAGGTCACTGCTGTACCTGTAAAGACAAGCATAAAACACAGTGTTGGTTCTCATAGTTAAGGTATAAACACTAACATTATGTGATAGAGATTAATATATATAAATATATAACAATAATTCATATAGCAGTATTTACCTGAGGAAAACGTCACAGAAAGCTGTAATCCTGATTGTTGATGTTGTTCCTTTCTCTGTGATTTCAGGTCAGACTCCGGCTCTAACATGTCCACTGGTGAAGTTGTTGGTTTCGAAGCAGTAATTGAATTAATATTGAGGTAGAAATGCAGATAAACTCAGCAGCAGTGAGGAGCTGTCTGCCAAAACACCAGCGACGCTGAGGCGGAAGTGGGAGGGCCGGAGCGTCATCAGCGTCATAATGCTGACCAATCAGAGCAGACTGGGCTTTTCAGGGGAGGGGGGTCTTAAAGAGACAGGAGCTCAACCGGAGCGTTTCAGACACCAAAATAATGAGTTTTTTGAACATTAAAAACACAAAACACATTCTAGTAGACCGACAGAATAAAACGATGAACCTAAAAATAAGCATAACATGTCTCCTTTAATGTTTTCAAGCCTTGCGACACTTCTCTTTACAGGATGTTTCAAAGCGACAGTGTTGTTAAGCAGTCCTCCACTCACACTGCACAGGTCCTACATTACAGCCCGTGTTCAGAGCAACACATAACTCATTCACACCGCAGGGACGGATCTCAATCTGCCTCACACACGCGTGTCATGTAACGTGCTGCTTCCCGGAAAGGGTTAACTTTAAGGCACAGGTGAGGCTGAGCTAGCGACGGTAGCCTCCACAAGTGAAAGTATCAGTCCTCCGCTAACGCTGCCGTTGCGTAATAAGCAAACAGCACACCGAGAGGGAGGGAGACCTTAAATCCTCTTAAAAACCTCCTACCAGATCCAGATTGAAGTGTGAGCCCGAAGCAAAAGGCGCTTGACTTTTGAGGAAGCTTGATGTGTCTCCAAACGTTTTAGGGCACCAGTGTGTACGGGACCTGACGTGACGCGGCAGTGGGCCTGGCTTTTCCTCCACTGTGCCTGCATTCATAAACGGATATGATAACCGAGCATTGAACGCACCGGAGCCGCGACAACAGTCAGCTCTGACCATGGCGGAAGAGGACGACGCGAGGGTTCGGATTTTACAGAGTCTGCGGGGGAAAATATGTAAGTTTATCACTGGCGAGCCGGTGTTTTCTGTCTCTCACAGAGGAGTTTGGGGGTGGAGGGGGAGAGAGAGAGAGAGAGAGAGAGAGAGAGAGTGTGTGTGAGAAAGAGAGAGAGAGAAAGAGAGAGAGAGAGAGAGAGGTCGGTAGAAAGAAGCGAGGAGAGGCGAGAGGGGAAGCCGGAGGGGCGCGGCGTGCTATCAACAGAGAGGAGGCAGCAGCCAGTTCATCTGGTCGGGCTGCTGCCTAACGTCAAGTTAGCACAGCATGCTAACAGCGGCTACTACCTTGTTGTGGTTGATTTCACGCCTCGAGCTGCCGCCGGCCGTGCTGCTCCAGTGGATTGTGTTTAATGTGTGTTATAAATTAAGTCTGTATCAAAATGCGGGCGTTTAGTGTGGACTGGCTGCCCTGTAAGCTGAGTTAAGTTAAGGTTGGTGGTAAAGTAGGGAAGGGGGGGCTAGCTACTACCAACCAGTCTCCAGTCCATCGCCAACTAACCCCCCATTCACTTATAATGTTACTCACTGCAGGACAGACAGGTGATTTAGCTCATGTTAAGATTATAATAACATCCTTTTCAGCGACAATAAGCTTAAACGCAACGCATAACAAATGGCGTCTCAAAACAGCAAAGTAATGGTCACTCACCCTCATGAGTTTAATGTTAGCTTCTCAAGTCCAAGCATTGCACAACAGTGCTGTGTTGATTGATAGGTGACCAACCTGACGAGCTGAGTCCAAGTCTGAACACAGTTTCTCTCAGCAGGTCTTTTTTTTTTTTTTTTGCAAACTGGAGGAAACCTGTACATGCAATGATCATGTCTCATCAAGTGCATGTGCATTACATTGTTCATTAAAGTCGATCAATGGGAATGAGTTAGATTATTTGGTAATGCAGGCAAGATGACTATTCTGCAAGCAGATTGTTCCAGTGGAGTGATTTATAATATTACAATAATCATACATTTAGTAAGAGTCCAAATCAGAAACACTGGCTTTAAAGTCAAATACCTGACAAGCCAGTTTCCTCATCCTCATTCTCATGCTGGGCTGGTTCAGTGGAGTACCTACCCACTGTGGAGCTGTTTCAATGTGTAAATGTAGTTTTAGCCAAATTACTCAAATTCAAGATGTGTCTGGCTGCCTCCTGCCGTCCTGCCGAGATTCAAACTACACTAGCAGTTCTCGTTATGCCCTTTTTACTAATAGATAACAAGGTGTCACATATGAGGCAGGAGATTTGTATATTCTCAGTTTTAACACACATCCATTAGTCTGCACTCACTGCTCTCTGTGTTGGCGTTTGAGGTAATTGATTATGGTTAGGATTAAATTTGCCCCAGTGGCTTTGCTTCATCTCTGTGGGGAAAGTAAAATTCACTGCGGTCAATCTTTAAATGAGTTGGCACGAGATGAGTTTTTCTTTTAATGATGAAATTGATTTTTGTTATGTTTGTATGTTTGACGCAACATTAGTTTTAACATACGCTTTTGAGACATTTTTATTGTTTCAAAAGTAGGTGTAGACCATGTCATGACCAACTGTAAACGTTGTTTAACTATGTGTTTACTGAAAGGGGAGTATAGGCTAACTAGTATATAATGCTTGTATGCATAGGCACACAATAGGAAGACAACAGTTTCACTACTATGAATTAATGAGAAAACGGTAAGCAGAACAAAATAGAGGAACTGTAATGGCATGTAACTCACTTTGCAGTCTTACGAAACTCCATTCTTCCTCGTTCACACTTTGTCCTTTTTCCTTTAGCCTACATCAATGGAGGTGACGTTCTGTGAAGATGTGTTCTTATAGCAGTTTTCACATGGCCAGTGTACTTTGATATCTCCCCTTGTCTGCCTCGTTGTCCGAATAAAACCAGTGAATAGGTCAGCTGTTCAAATGACAAAGCAGTCTTCAGCTGTAAGACAGGTACAGTTTACTCTCTGACCTTCAGGTTATGGTTTTCACAAGGAGTCGTGCTTCTGTTTTAGTGGCAATGTGACTGAAGAGATGGCAGTGGGGTCGGTTGGCCAAAGTGTACTGTATGTATTTGTGTCTGTGTGCATATGTGCTTGTGTGCTCTACTCCCACCAGGTCATCCCTGTTCAAGCTTAGTGGCAACTTTGCTGTTTTCGCTGGCCGTTCCTAAGATTAGCACATACACCATTATTAATAGCTTGTTAAAAAGCTGATCCCACTGGTGGCTTTTCTTAATTAGGTGTTCACCTAAGCTTAGGTTACCTATCCAAAGCTAGAGGACCAATTTAGACTTCTGTCTTTGCCCTTCTAATCCACCGGTGTAAATCTGACTCATTGTGAAGTTATTGATAGTGCTGTGTTTGAGTAACGGCTGTTTTGCTCTCCTGAAGATCCTGGTTTTAACTTATCTGGCTTTGATTTGGTAATTGGCTATGTATGTGTTACACAAAACCCCATGCCATGTAATCTGGGTCTGCCTGCCATGTAATGCAAGCGTCTGTGTTACAAAGGTGTTTTGTTATTTGTGAATCAGCGCTGTACCGTCAGCATTGGTTATGCTGAGGAAGTCAATGTTTCATGTTTTTAACCACATAGGAGCCTCAAGTCTGCTTCAGCTACATCCGCTCTGCAGCTTACCCTTCACTGCCAGAGCCCCAATATGAACATGAGGATGTTGATTTGTAAAAGCAAGATTTAAAAGTGTAGTGTGTATGTTTGCACAAACATATTCTTAGATTGATTTTAGTGAAATTAACCCTTTCTTTTATTTAAGGACTCCCCCCGATTGAGATTAAAAGAAGGAACTTACTCATTGAAATGCATTCTATATAATATATTTATTATTTTTTATTGTAGTTGTCAGGCTTTAGGACTGCCACTTTAGTTCACTTCTCAGTGAGATTAATATTTATAACTGTAGACTAGAAGTAGATAGTTTTTGTAATTAACTTATAATAATTACTTAATTTTTCCTTTTACTTGAGAATAACCATTGTTGTTTGACGCCAGACGAGATAGTAATCATGTTCTTCTCTCTGTGCCGCAGGTGAAGCTAAGAACCTAGGACCAGTCTCAGGTCCAAATCGGCAAAGGGATCTCTGCACCTTTTGCACCATAAGTCTGGATCAGGAGGAGGTGTTCCGCACCAAAGTGTTTGACAAAAGCGTCAGGTAAGCCGGTTAATGGATATTGTACATTTCCATGTTGATTACATTCCTTATTCCCTTATTTTAGTTTATAGCTGTTAGTGTACTTTGCTGTGTTCATTATGTTAACATCACAGTAAACTCTGGCTTACACTTTAATTACATTTCATACCAAGTTACACAAAATGCAACTGGACTACTTACTTGACTCTGCAGTCTCAGGAAAGGTTTATATTTTTATTTGAATGTACCATATCAAGCATATTCTTGGCTCTTTGCTCTGATGTAGAGAACGGGCTAGCTGTCTTCTTATTCGCAGTGTTTAATTATATTGCACATATCATTTCTCTCATGGAATTGGTGGGGTGGTAGTATTTGGCAAACTATGCATTGTCACAAACTAAGAGCAGTTTAAAAAGGCTTGTATAAAATAGTAGAGGTCATAGAAAGTGTGAAACTACCGGCAGTAATATAGTGTTGATGCACCTGCAGTAATCCAGATAAACAGGTCCATGTCACCAGTTGTGTCATTGAATGTTATGAGTCGTATCAAAATATTCAATGGTTAGTTTCCCGGAAAGTGTGATACTTAAAGCGGCCCAAAGGAAGAAACCATTAAGCTGAGGAGAAATGATTGCAGTTGTGTACACACATTTCAGCATCTTGGGTTTTTTTTTTTATCATATGCACACATTGCACACCTCATCTGTAGCGAGTAGTGTTGGCTATACAAGAAATCCAAACATATCTGTTTATGAGCAGGTGAAGGTTTCGGGTTCAGTGTCTTATTTGTGTCATTTCCTCCTCAGAGTTAATTTTTGAACTAGTAGTGAACCTTTTGTAAGTTATTGGATGTGTAGCTTAGAATCAGGTCAATCAAGAAAAAATGTTAAACCTTCACAGCTTTACAAATACAAGGATTTGCTCCCATTCTCTAAATATAGTGTATAATGTATTGAATGCCAAGTTTCTGACGGCTCATCTTTTGGAACTTAGAGGACATTTATCATTTTCTTGACACATTACTTTGCTCGATTTACTGAATAACTGATAGATCGTTTAGATAGTTTTATTCTGTTTATTTAGAATGATGTAAATAAGTTAAGGAGGGCTAGAAAAGAGTCACTGCGACTGTCCATTTAATGTAACTTGTATCTGCTAATGCAATAGCTGTTCAACTACCATGGTTGCTTAAATTAATACAAAGATAATATATAAGTTTCAGAAACAACATTAAGAACAGGAAAAATGTTATGAAGTTATGCTTACATGGCTTGATTATCCCCACTTTAATAATTTTCTTATTATGAATGCTTTTGAGCATAGTGTAAGACACAGCTTACTCAATTTAAAATACAGAATGATATGGCCTAGAGCGTTTAGAGACATTACTGTGGGCTGCTGTTATTCTTCATATAATTCACAGTTTGTTTTTTTAGAATCAAAGTCAAAACAAAGCAGAAACACAAATTAAATAATCTGTTGAGGAAATCTCTCATGTGGAAACAGTTATACTGAACTCTGGACCATTTATGTTGGTTACAAGCCGGTCATGTGGGAAATGTCCAGTTTGAAATTCAGTCATTTGATAACATCTTACGACCTGTGAACGTGTGACTCAGAGCTGTATTTGTGCAGGGGACCATTTTAGCTGGGAAACGTTAAGTGATTCAGAATGAAATTTGCTATTTTACCAATAGCCACATGTTCACAAGCAATAAAGAGAAAAGTGTGGGAGATGGGCACACCAGGAAACCTTTCAGGTTTCTGTCTACATCATTGCACATCTCACTGTAAACACGGGCCTGCCTTCTCTAGGTATTTCACAACAGCTCTTTTTATTTTTTTCTCTCCTGATTTCGGTGCTGTTCAAAAAGATTTTGCAGTCTCTGAGGAAGTGTGTCCTCCCACGCTCTCCCCTGTCTTTCTCTCTGTGTTAGTCTCAACTACCTTAGCCTCTGTTTAGCACATCTTAATAATCTCTCAAATGTGGCCCACTGTTTTTTTTTTTTTTTTTTTATTTAATGGTGCTTGACCTCATGCCTGTTGTATGGGCTCCTGTTTCTAATGGTTTAAAGGCTGTATGGAAGCTCTAATTGCAGCAAATCCCTTGATTAAAGCAGGCATGGTCACACAGTTGTAGTCAAGTGGCTCTACCTTGCATTCTCACATTATATAGAAGCTAGGATGACAACAGAAGGGAAGGTAATGTAGTGGGTGTGTGTTTGAGTGTGCACAGCATAAGGAGGTTACGAGTGCATAATTCCATGTGATGTTGAGGAGGATGTGTGGGTGTACACTGGATGTGTTGGCCAAACCCAGTGCGGAAGTGTCAGGCAAGATATTTCACCATCCAAGATGCATAAATTGTAGAGGAAGGCATCCGTGTAAGGATTGAAGAGCTTTAGGACCAGGTCCTCTCGATGCTCGTAGTGAATATTTATACAGATATCACTGTTTACAAGGCTAACTTCCAGGTCCTGATTCCATTTTTAAAAACTGATAAATCATTATGTCACATGACCCATAAACTCCAGTAATGTTTGACAGGCAAACACAGGTTAGGTTATTTTATACACCAAGCAAGTGTCTTCCAGGTTGTTTAAATGCCAGCTGCCAATTAATTAATTTGATGCTACATTCTTCTTTTCCCCAAATGAACAGACCTCCAACCTTTTGTAAACTTTAGATGACTTGTAAGAAGAATTCAAAAGACAGGTTGCAGGTTTACTTGAACATATGAACAGGTAATCCAGCACAGCTGTCTA